GTGTAAAGACATCATTAACTCGAGACCGATCCGGAAAGTTTGCTGCGAGATGGGCGAATCGCGGATCGCTCGTCCCGGGCGGGCGTTCACACTTGTCGGCTCGAATCGACGTATAAATCGGACGCGGGGCCACCTTCGCGATCTCGAAGCACGTTATAATTATCGGGGACGTCTCGACGGTCTCGGGAAAAGGTGGAATCCTGCGCGGCCATGTTGAGAGTCAACCGTAAGTCGTACCTCCGCAACTCGGCGCTGCGCGTCCCGGCGCTCGTTCTTCGTCTCGTGCGGCAAGCTGATCGACGAGCGGTGCATTAGTCAGGCACTTTTGACAAATATATAAAGGCCTAACGACGCGGTATTATAACCGACGTGCACGCGAGCGTTTAAGTCCTGTCCCGAAGAGGCGAGCGACCTGCGGCGACGGTTCCCATAAGTCATCTTCATCGGCCCGTCATCGGGTCCCAAGTTCTCAGCCACCCCCGCGAAGATTAACCAGAATTTGCACGTGTGTGCACGGGGGAATCGTTCTTCGAGTTTGCGAGGCAAATTGCTTTCATTTGACGTGGATGTCTCGGGGTGTTCTGCATTCGGTATGGTTTCCAATAGTTCTCATAAGTCATCTTTAATGGGTCGTCATCGATTCGAGTTTTTAGTTACCCCTGCGAAGATTAACCAGAATTTGTCTGAGAGCACGGGGGAATAACAAATAACATATTGAAGTTTGCGAGGCAAATTGCTTTCATTTGACGTGGATGTCTCGGGGTGTTCTGCATTCGGTATGGTTTTCGATGGTTCTCATAAGTCATCTTTATTGGGTCGTCATCGATTCGAGTTTTTAGTTACCCCCGCGAAGATTAACCAGAATTTGTCTGAGGGCACGGGGGAACTGTTATTGAAGTTTGCGAGGCAAATTGCTTTCATTTGACATGAATGTCATGGGATGTTCTGTTTTTGGGACGTTTTTTGATGTTTCTCTTGTCGTGTCATCAAATTTCACGGCTTTAATGCTTCACAGGAGAGCTATAATTGTAACCTCATACAGATTCAACGCGATGTTGAATAATTTGTTAACCACCTCACGCGTTTCATGGCAAGTGACGGTCATTATCATTTTGGGGACGCTATAGTGACTCTGCATGTAGTAAAACGACAAAGTTTGAAATATATCTCGTAATTACACTTATGACACCCAGGTTGGATTAAGATATTTATCAACGACCAATTTGAAACGCGTTTGTCAACAAGGGCGATAATTTGGCCCACTTTGGTCGACCTTTCCGCAAGCCGCAGGAGCAGTGCAGGCATTTGCATAAAAGTTTATGCAAGTTGATTAATGCAAACCGTGGATGTAGATTACGTAATGACAGTGCCCATTAAGCGAACGATTATTCCCCGTATCAGCCACCCCCGCTCATGTGACAAGGTATGCCAAGGCTGCAAGTACGCGTACCTTGCATGACGACATTCTTGTCGCGTCCGCTTGGCAAATTGCGCTAATTTGATGTACGTTTGTCGGGATTTTCTCCATGGCGGCGCGTAAAGATCCACCCCAGCTGTCGATTTTGATAAGAGATTAATAAATACCGATCGTAACGGTTACCGGCTGATCAAGACGACGTAATGTAGCCATCGCAATGACAGCGCGTGTATGACAAACTGCTCGTTGAGATAACGAGGTTTGTCTTTTAACGCACCGAGGTCGAGGGACGAGTTGCAAAATTCCTGGAGAAATTTCAGGAAAAAATTCCCTCTCGCAACGGTCGAGCAAAGTCTTCTCTGCCAAGATCATTTGAGGTTATGTCTTACATTCACGAATTACGCGCTTGCCGCGTGGAGGTTATGTCGTACCGTTTTGAGGTCATAATTAGTGACGCGCATGAATGCGATTTCTTGTCGAAACTTTTCGTTCGCTGAAGAGACGACTTGCGAAAGTTTGAACTGGGGCTTTTCGAGTTCGTCTCGTGCAAGATGTTCATCCTTTCTTTCTCTCCCCCGATGACTCCCAAGAAGTCCCGGCACTTAAGAGCGCTATCACCCTTTTAGTATTCACGAGCTCCGCGTCTCGTGAATCTCTCGCGAGGAAGAATTTCGCCGGTAAATTTACAGCGGCAGTGATGCGGCGGCCTTAATGTAAGCGAAACATTAATTTGTCGTGCGTTTATCATAATTACAAGCCAAGTACTGGAAGTGTAAATGGACAGTGGCACGGTGCAATTATAGAGGAGGTACTTGATGTTCGGAGTTCTAGGAGATGACTTATTGTTCGGACCGTGGCGTCCCTTTATCGACGACGTACAACCCTGAAGTAACACCTAAGCGAGTTCGCTCAAACTGGCCCACCCAGTCTTTACGCCTTTCATTTAATCGAGAGGGTAATCACTCTGAAACCAGTGAAACCAAACAATTTGAATGAAAACTCGAATAACAAGCAAAGTAAATTAACTTAAAATAATCCACTTTTTAATTAACATATAGTTGAAAAAACAAAAAATCTCACGAATTCCTCTTAACAAATTATCAACCTAAATTCCATGATTTAAATCATTCCGCAAAACCTATTTTTCCCACCGATGATCCTCCCTTTACATCGGCAAACCCGCAAAACCGATCGCAGAAACGGTCAGCTTAACTACTCGGTCGTTACGCGAGGCCATGAGTTACGGGGCGCGAAGCGGATCGGGCGGCTCGTTAGGCCGATATCGATTAGATCGTCTTATCGAGGGACGCGTCCGCGCCCGAGGTGTCGTGACGTCTCCGGCACGTCTTCGGCGCCCCTGCGCACGAGAAAGGCGCGATGCCGCCTCGCGCCGTTCGCCGCGACGCCACCTTGTAACGTTCCGCTGCGACGCCACCACGAGACGTTCCGCCGCGACGCTCTATCGCGATGTCGCATCGAAACCTATCGTCGCGACGCCTCCCCAAGATATTTTGTCGCCTCGAAATGTTTCGTCGCGACGCCACCTTGTAACGTTCCGTCGCGACGCTACCACGAGACGTTTCGCCGCAACGTTTTATCGTGATACCGCCACGAAACCTATCGTCGCGACGCCTCCCCAAGATATTTTGTCGCCTCGAAACGTTTCGCCGCGACGCCTCCTCGAGACATTTCGCCGCGATACCACCTGAAGACAATTTTTCGCGATGTCGCCTCGAGACGTTTCGCCGCGACGCCACCTCGAAACGTTTCCCGCGACGCCACCTCGAGGCGTTTCGCCGCGACGCCCGCCTCGAGACGTTCGCCGCGACGCTGGCCGCGCGCGACAGGCGCGCGTGGGTACTCCCGCGCGTACCGCACGCACACACTTCGCCGGCGAAGTAGTGGGAGCGAATCGCGGCCTCTCTCGCTCTCTCTCCCTCTCTCTCCCTCTCTGCCCCTGCGGAGAGGCTCGGCCTCTCCGGCTCTCTAAGGCGACTTACGCCTACGCCGTGTAGTCGCAGCATCCACACTTAGCCCTCCTCAGTTCAGCGCGTGCCTCCACGCGACCAGCCACCACCAGCCACGCTCCCGAGCCGGGACCGCCGGCCCGAGGGACGCGCTCTTTGCGACGCCGTTTGCACGTTTCGGGATTTTTCTCCCCTTTGATAACCCTTTAGCAAGTCTCCTCAAACGTCTCTTGCATTCCGAAAACGCTGGGGTTAGTTGGGATTTTTAAACTTGCGGGCGTTTCCGTGCAATTAAGTGGAGAACACGGGGAGCATGGAGAACGTGGAGAACGTACTTTGGGTCGTGACTCGTCATCGTTAATGGTTACCGCGAGTTTTTACAGATTTTGCGGGATTTGCGAGATTCGTGCGGTTTGAGATCGGGTTCCAGGTGTGTCCGAGTTTGGTCTCGTGGTTCTTCACGAGGGATGTAGGATTTGGACGGATTGGGGGACGCTAGTTTTGGTGTTGGTTCTGGTGAACGCGTTTGGAGACTGCGCACGTGGACGGAGGTTCCGTGGAGTGGTGGTTTCCAGGGAATTTGTGTTCGGATGGTGGTAGACTGGGACCTTTTTGCCAGGTTCTGCGACTGGCTCCGGGTGATCCACCACCATTGATCAACTCGCGTGCCACGCTGAAGAGACGCGTTGTTCGCCAAACGGAGACGCTAATTGCCTCGTCGGTGTTGGACTTAGGCATCCCGAAGAACGATTTCCGTGTAGTTAATACATCTGCGTCTGCAGGGGAACTAATAACCAACGAAATCTCATCCTGTCACCTGTACTTTCCATCCAGTTCTGGTGCCACCGGTCGCCACTCACCGAGACGTTGCTACGTCTTCGGGAATATTAATGCTCATAGGGTCCCGCGGAAACGTTGCCATTTCAGGAACTCGAAGAAACATTTCAGGTTTACTTTATAAATTCTACCTCGCCGAACAACGACCTCGCCCTCGGAGGAGGGGTCCCTTCAGGGAACAATACTAGTCAACGGTTCCATACCCACTGCCTTCGGCACCAAGGCTACCGTTCTATGAGTCCAACAAACCCTCTGGATTCAGGAGAAAATTCCCAATCGTCCTTATGCGGAGTAATTGGCGATCGAAGTCGTCCTCGGACCCTGAAGAATGCACCTTGAGGAGCGGTGCTTGAGAAGTAACGGGTCGACGCCGTGACGCGATCACGGAAGACGTTCGCAGGCCCAACCAGGGGACGTCTCTATCAAGGAATCTCGCCAAGTGGGTGGACATCTTGCCGATGACAGTCGCTTTGGTTCCCCGGATCGGATCGAGCCGCCAGGCTGCTGTCAACGTTCAAAAACCGGAGAGGATTAGCGCAGTTCCCGGGCGTCGACAGGATCGACGATCGCACCTTCGATCCTCCTATTGGGGTCTTCAGGGTCTTCGGGATCCCTGGATCGCTGACAGATCCTTTCTCCCTGCTCGGCTCCACGTGGTTGTCACCTACGTATAGCGGGTCTTCGAGAAGCCCTTTTCGTCACGGCAATCACGAAGACGCTGTCACGACCCGATGTCGTCGACTGGTACCACGTCTTGAAGTGGTCCAGCTGTGGAAACATTTTGGAACAGCTTTCGCTCCACTTTATGGACCTGTTGCTGTCGGAGATTGTCAATGGGTCCATCGCTAATCCCGGTGGGCTTCCTCATGCTCCGTGGTTCTTTTTGCTGGATTTTGGATGGCGTTCTGGATACGTTTGAAAGCTGCTGATGGATCGGTTTGAAGTGCCGCAGCTGGAGAAATATCCAAGGAACGTTTTTGCCTTGATATGTGGACATATTGAAAATTGCTGATGGGTCCCGGACTTGTTGGAAGCGATTTTGTTGTCATCGTCTGAGCTTGCGGACACACCTTCCTTGACGTTTCCACGTGTCTTGAGAGACTTTTTTTCTGCTGGAAAAGTGTAGAGACGTTTTTCCCCGGTGGTAATGTGCATGGCTCGCGGTTTTGCCATCTATTATCGTTTTGTCGTTCCTGGCAGACCGCGGTGGCTGCATCGTAGACGAAGACGCGCAACATCATCATTTCCATCAGCACTCGGAGGTCGGGCAGGAATTTCCTCCCCGTTGGAAATGAATACACCTCGTACCTGAAGATATTAAAACCCCGACCCAGAATCGGTGGGTGCTACGAACGGTTAACGACAAGCTGGGGAGAAGAAAAAAAATGACGCGTCCGGGTGAAAGTTAGTCACATTGGTTTAGTTCCGGAAGAAACGCGGCTCCGTTTTCTCGTGAGCTTCTTTCTTGCGAATTCTGGAAACGAAGAGATTCTTGAACGCTCCTTCATTAAGGGATTAAGGTGGGTAGAATCCCTGCATCGTTTGGCAGTACTCGAAGAGCTGAATCACAGTTTATGGACTCTGGTTTCTAGTGAATACTCCGGAGTCAAGGTTGTGGCAGGTTGCAAGGCCATTGTTGCAGGATGCAAATCCGCGATTAACGGCTCGACATAAATCAATGCGATCTCCCAAAAGGCGCCGAAGCTGAAGAGCCGTCCGACCTGGGCAGCCTCTGAACCGACTTTGTCACATCGACTTGCACTTTGCGCTCGTCTCGGCGTTTTTACGAGCTCGCGCTATCACGAAAGGAGAACTCGTCGGCGGCAACTTACGAGACTGTAGGCCGAGGAGAAGGAGAGAAGGAGAAAGAGAGGGAGACGGGATCGGAAAAGAGCGGATTGGAAATCGACCGGCGTGGGCGAAAACGGCGCCAACCTGTTGCTCAAGATCCGAGTCCAAGAGATCAAGTAGTTCTCCAAAACTCGGACTCCACGTCGAGCTGGTTGCTCGATACTCTACGGATCCGATCGTTAAAAGAAATCACCGGACCACCGGCGGATTCTGGAAATTAAACCCACTCGATCTTCCGCGTGCGGACGTTTCGAGGTATTCCGACATTCTTCAGGGTGTTCTTCTACATGGACCAAAGTTAGACCTTGGACCAGCACCAGTGCTCGTCTCAGTACTCGTCGGTTAAGTTTCACATCTCGAAGTCGTCAAGATCGAACTTGATGACTTCTACATTTCGAAGATCTGAGAATTAAATAAGATTAAATGAAAATTGGCTCTGGAGCTGCGAAGAAGAAAGGAATATACGAGATCCTGTATGGGAATCTTCTTGGTGTCCAGTGGTCTTTTCGGCTCAAGAGAGCTTCGCCGAATTCTGTGTCAAGAGGGAATTTAGAAATTGATTTGCGCGGTCGCTCTCAATAGTGGACCCTGAAGAGAGTAGCCGTTCCACTCGAGACTCCTGTGAGTAGAGGAGACACTTCTGTCGCGGTCTTCGAGTACCTCGCGTGGTTCCACGTTTTTTTTTCCACTCCGCACTCGAGAGGCCCGAGATTGAGCCTGGAATTCCTCTTGTCTCCCCTTCTAGACAAGAAGGTCCCGATTTAAATGGATCAGTTTGAAGTTTAATCGGATTACCGGGCGAGAAACTCGCGGCGACGGAAGTCACGCCTCTTGATACCGGGGAATCTCGTTTTGACGTTTCCTCATCAAACCGTATCAAAGTGACGATTTAAATATATCCAGTTCTTCTGGGGCATGTTAAATCAGTGAAATAACTGTCTAAATACGGGAGTTTAAGTAAGACATTCGGTGTTCATCTGAAAGACGAGAAAATTCATCCTAAAGAGGAACACAACGCTCGAGGTCGTTCACGGCGCAGAAGCGAGTAATCGCGGTACCACTTCAGGGATTCACCGCAAGAGAAAACACTTCCTCAGCTACTCGAGTATATCCCGTGGTTTTGACGTTTCTCCGCTAAAGTGACCAAGAGGAATTAAAATATTTTTCAAACCTCCGAGGATTGCTAAATCGATGACCATTCGAAGGATCCAATGCAAGAGAAAACACTTAGATTGCTCCTCGAGGGTGCTTCGGGATTTTGCTGTTTCTTCGTAATAGTAGTGATTAAAGTATCGTTATTTCTCCTAGAGATTGCGAAATCGGTGGAATAACTTCTCGAGGTTAAGAGTTAAATGAATTATTAAACGAGAGGTTCTAAGCGAAACCAAGTCCCACCCTGAAGAGAACCACAACACGCGAGGTCGTTCACAGCGCAGAAGCGAGTAATCGCGGCACCACTTCAGGGATTCACCGCAAGAGAGGACACTTCTCTCTCTACTCGAGTACTTCGTGGTTTCGAAGTTCCCCTCCCCCGGTGCAAAGAAGTCCCGGCGAAGAAGTGACGTTCAAACAATCGTTTCCTCCTTCCCGGGACCCTGGGCCCGCCCGACATCCGACCGATGGGGTTTCTATGGAAATGAGAACATGAGTCAACCCGACAAGATGGACAAGTCCTGCAGGATCATTCTCTTCGTGCTGATGACGAGCCTCGTCATCGTCTCGGCCGACCTGACGACGAGGGAGCTGCTGGAGTGCAGGGCGAACCTGACCAAGGCGGTCAGGAACGAGGCGACGTTCCTGAAGAAGGTTCGCCAAGCGGACTACATCTTCACGGGGAAGATCAAGGAGCTCGGCAGAGACCAGCTCCATGTAAAAGTGAAACGAGCCATTAAGGGGGCTCTGAATTCCACCCTTGATCTTATGGTGAACGACTCCTGTGCCGCGTACATCCGGCGAAGTTTTACCGGCATCTTCATGGGTCGCAAGGACATCGGGTTTGGGGACGTCCGACACCATGGAAAAGTGGTAATGCACTTCGGACCGGTACCATTGACCCTGACGAACCTGGACAGACTCAACGCGGCTGTGAAAGGTGAGTCCTGGCCCTTCCAGCGACGAATATTGCTAATATATTGTTGTAATATTGGCTCAATATTATCTATTGGTACAACGTTATCAATTACTAGCGAATATTGAGCTAATATAACATTTCGTGCCCCAGTAAATCTTACCGTCAATATATTAGTGCAGTATAGAATGAATGTGGTTAGGCACACGATATTTTGATACAATGCGTCTGCAATACTGTATTCAAATTTATTTTGTATATCACGACGGAAGATTCGATTATTAAATCGAAATGTAAAACAGCGACCGAAAATTTGGCTATCTGGCCTCGTTTCATTAAACGACGGCATTTCGCTGAAAGCTGGATTTTACAATCCTACGATAGCTACACTATCAACAAGTTCTACCAACATGCAAATGTTTCATTCATGTAATTAATATATTTGAATTTTATTGTCAGGGATGCTGATCCCAATTCGAAAATGGCTGAAATTCCTGTTGCGAAAAAAGTGGTGAAAGTGTGGACCGATCGCGGTCAGCGTGCAGGCTGAATTTCTGGCTGAGATTTAAGGCGTCGTCGGACCCATTTGCGTGGGAAGAGTCGCGGATTCGATAAGGATCGATTAATGTCGGGGGGTGGTTAGCGGGAGGAGACAAACCGAAGGTTCAACGGAGGTTTCCTCCTTTTCTCGTATCGGCTTACAGCCGGCCGCGCCTTAACGGTGTCGGGCCGAAAGCGTTAAGGGCGTCGTTGACGGATAAAAGTCGTCGCGCGATGAGGCCCGCGGACTTTAAGACCCACGGGGACCGATCGCTTAATCTCCGTGACTCGCCGCGTTTCTTAAGATGGGTTATCGGCACTCTCGATCTTGTGTATCGATTGCGAGGCGATCATCGAAAAATCGTCATCTTCGCCGGAGGCGTCGAAAGATATTTTTCGTGTAACGTGACGCCATTTCTACTAAAAGTTGAAAGCTTAAATTCATAGCATTTTGTAAAAAGTAAGAATCTTTTAAAAAGTAAAAACTTTGTAAAAAGTAAGAATTTTATAAACCATATCGACCATCGTTTCTTAATTTTCATTGGGACATTCAATTTTGCATTAATTTCGATGTGGGGGGCATTGAGGAGCGCTCTTATCAAAAGATGTCACCGATATTTCCGATATCAATGCCGATTCTGGGGACAACCGAAACGTCAATCTCGGAACTATTGGCGTTCGCGGAAAGTCGGAGATTATCAACGAAGGGTTATCAGAATTCGCATTCCCGTCAAGTGGACTTATACGCATTCACAGGAACCCATTTAAGCAAAGCTCGTGCCATGAAAGGTCTGAAATTCTGGCGCGACTAGGTGGAGGCGTCTTATCAGAAACGATTTCTTTACATCCGGACCGAAGATTAGCCAATGAGCGTCTCCTGGAAGTGTTCGAGGAATTCCAAGTGATTGCCTGTGTGGGACGTTGCGGGTTTTCTAGTGGGCGCAGTCATTCTGACGTGCTCGGGTGAATGTTCCGATGTTATCAAATCAACGTTCTTCGTCATTCTGACGTTCTCGAGTGAACGTTCCAAAGTCACCGAATGGAAGTTCTCGTCGTTCCGACGTCCTTAGATCGACGTTCATCGACGTGCTTTGACGTTCCGATGGTTCGACGCTTTGGTGTTTCCACATTTTTTGACGACCTGACGTCACTACGTTTTCTGACGCCTCCAACTTTTCTGACGATTCGATGTCTCCTGACGTCTCCTTGTCTCCCAGTGTCCTTATATCATTCAAGGTTTCAACGTCCTCCAACGCCGTTACGTTCTTACATCTTCCAACGTTCCGATATAATTTGACGTCTCCACGTTTTCCGACTTCTCCCCATCTTCTGACGTTCCCACACCTCCCAACATCCTGACGTCCTTCGACGTAGCAGAAAACGGCGATTTCTCAGGACCTCTAGCCACCGACACCTGGCGATGCCCACGCACTTCTACGCACCTCCTTCCGCGAAGCTATCCTTCCCCTGATCCTGTCGCGAGTATCGCAGCCAGGATCCTCCCGCCCGGTTCCAGTTAACGCGATTAAACTCGCCCAGGACTCTGTCCAGGCTCGTTTCCGTCGATTTCCAAAAGGACGTCCTCCTGCGCATTAATTCTCCCCCGACTTATCGCGGCGCCCGCCCGGCCCAGCCTCGGAGTCCTCGACTCTTTTTCACACGTCGATTCCGATCTTATGTCCCTCTTATGTCGGCCATTACCGTTGTAAGGCCCCGGTTGCTTTAATGCCTCCCCTAAATCTCGCCTGGCACCTCTTACGGTCCTCCCGATCGGTTCGTCGAGTAGTTTCCTAACAACTTCGATGTTCTACACACCTTCCCGGGGTCGAGCGCCCCCAAATTCGACTTCAGGATCCCACTTTCATCCCGAAATCCCGCACCGATTGTTAAATCCCAACTTCACTGCCACCTTAAACCGACGCCGTTCGATTACTTCCCGAATCTCCACGCGTTGATTTTGATCTCCCGATTAAATCGGCCATTACTGCCGCGAGGAGGCTGATTTAGTGCCTCCTTTAAATCCCACCTAACACCTTTTATCGGAGACTTTCGACGGGGATAAAAAAAGGGATAAAGCGCACCCAGCGACGATTTCTTTGAGGGATCCTTGGAGATCTTGAACGGATAATTAAATCTCCCGGTTTCATTCGCCAATCGATCGGTCTAGGTTTTACCAAGTTCTTGGACGGCTCTGGAGAAGATATCTACATCGGGTTACATTGTACCTCGAGCAATTGTTACTTCGTGAGCTTTCTTAACTCCCTTAAGTCTCTTTTTACGACTTCTAGAGTCGTTTCCCGGTACTCCTACGTACAGACCGGGTTACATGGTACCCTGAGTTTAAGTCGCGTCGGCGACATCCCTCGTACTGTTTCCACCGGCGATTCTGATTTATGGCGTAATCCGATTTTACTATTACCTTATCACTATCGCCGCTTGTTACTCGCCAACACCTCGGATGAACACACCGAGTCCGTTTCGTACAAGTGCCGGAATTTTTAGGGCCTGTCGAGGGTCTTGCACGCGTCCGGTCGCCGCTATCAGTCGCAACAAGTGATAAAACTTCGATTCTCTTCCCGCTTTATCCACGCCTACCAATACGCTCGTATCATTACGTGGCTACCATTAAAAAAGGACGGGAAGGACCCTGGTGTCCTTTGGAGTCAATACCCGGTCGAGGTTCCGAGCCGCGTTTCCTTTTGCACTTACGGCTCCTCGGCTCGTAAATAAACGCGCCCACTCGTACTATAAATTACCCACATATTATAAGATATAAATAAATCACAGCGCCGTGAAATACGACATCTCCGGCTTTTTCTGGACCGCTTATATCAATCCTTCCCCACGATCCGCGCTTGAGATGGACTCGCATGAAACGCGGTTCTCGGATGCATTTCTGCCCTCTAAACGCCGCCGATCGTTTCAGTGTTACTGAAAAGCTGCGCTTCTGGTCATTTATGGTCAAGTTGAGTCGGTCGGTCGGTTTCCTTTTGCAATTGTTCGGCAAAGTGGTCGTAAGAACCGCCCACGCCTGCCCTAACCTCTAAATTGACCGTACATTATGCTTCGGGGATTGATTTACTTTGAAATAAGGTCGCGGCGCTCCTGCTTTCGATTTTTTCACCCTGATTTATCTTAAAGTTGACCCATGCATACACTTGGTAGTTAATTTATTTATTGATGAAAAGAATTCAATTTTTATCCCATATCAATCTTATCAATTTCATAATGGCTCAAGCTGGAGTGGTATTATTTTCATTCACGATATGCAACTGAAGATCGTTATTGTTTCAGGAAATGACACTTTAAGTTTTACTCCATTGTCGGTGTTCGATCGAGTGTTTTTTTTTTTAATCAGTAGCGACCATACAATTGACACTTCCTTGACAGTTGTCAAGGAAATGCGCAAAACAAGAGCGATCTGCAATAATCCGATGATATCCTTACGAAGTCCTGACCGCGGAGTCCTCGTCTGATTCTGATTACGGCCCTGTTATCATTTCCACTTAGGGTACATCGATTTGCTTATATTACTGTAATTAATTAATTTATTAATGAATGGTATTCAATTTTGACATTTTATCAACTTCATCACCTTTGTAGTCGCTCAAGCTGAGTCTCTTATGAGTGCGTAGGCGGTACAGGTATCTTTGCAATGGAAATTCATTCCTGGAATTCTCGCGGTGAATCATAGAAATTCGAAACGCGGAAATTTCAGGGCGCTGCCGTTAATTGATTAACGCGAGGCGTTAGTGGAAAGCAGTGCTTACATCGCCGTTTATAACGAACGGTCAAGCCGAGCTGGTCGGCCCATTTCCTTTTACACTTGCTCGGCCCAGCGCTCGTAAAGAGGACCGCCCACGGGTGCTCTAAACTCTGAATTACGCGCACATTATATTCCCAGGATTGATTTACCTTAAACCACGATAATGGCATTCCTCTGCCTAATTACTAGAACCGAATATTTTAATTGAACGGTCAAGTCGGGCTCGCACCCCGCGCGTCAGGCAATTTGCAAATATATTATCGTAGAAGGCAGATCGCGTGAACTCGAATTACCTGCAGATTTAAGAGTGACTTGCAATGACCAACGATATTTTGTAATAATGCCAGAGACCTAAGCACTTGAAATTTAAATTATAAATTTATTACAGTCATGCGGTGATTTATTATAAATTAAAATTATACATCCTCTCTCTTATACACCGAATCAGAAAATACCCTGAGAGAAAGAAATTCATCGAACCGAAGAAACGTTCAGTTAATTCAAAAAATCATTACTTGCCTCAAGTAAATTGTCAGTATTCCGAATTAACGTGGTATCCAATGTATTCGAGTTTATTCGAGTGAAGTTCATAATATTCCCTAGGTACCTTTCAAAGAAACATTTCCTTGGTTAAATGACATTTCTATCCGGTGTAACTTTCGGTTGAGTACAGCAAATATTGCGGTAGGTCACACAAAGTATGAAATTAATTTCATAC